TTTCAAAAGATTTCAGTCATTGTTCGGACACCTTAGATAATATGCTAATGCCGGTAGTACTGTAACTTTCAAGCATTATTACTCGAGAAGTGATTAATGGAAAAATATTGTATTATAAGTATATTTGTGTTTTGGAAAGCTTTCGAGATAAGCTACAAGAATATGCAATGAAAAATGGGGGTTTCCATTTAAAAAATTTTAAGTGATCTTAGCCTGTCTTTGACGACGACACTCAAGATCAAACCAACAAGATCAATAAATACATCTTTTCGAACCCTGCAATTGTTATCTGAAACACTTCTGTAAAACTTATTTTCCGTGATATTCAGGTGTCCCGAGATTTTTTGGACACTCTGTATATATGATCTGTAAATATAAAATTTATAATTAATTCGTTATTATTTTAAAATATATTTAAAATTTTATTACTCACAATTTTACCTTTTACATTATATATTTAGCTATTTATTTCTTAATTTATCATAACCAAAATAAAAACAAATTTAAATATAATTAAGATACATGGTTGTATAATTTAATAATATTTTATAATATACTTTAGTTGTTCTTTTAGTAGATTTGTTGTACGTTTAGTTTAGTAGATACTTAAATTGATCTTTCTTAATGTATAGTTACCTTATAGTATATTTTGATATCTTTTTAGTTTTAGAATTTATATTTTTTAATATGTTTCTGCAATGTTATTCTGTTTCTTTTTTGTGTAGGAGCACATCTAGCAGCATGAATTCAACTATAATAGAAACGCCAAGGAAGAAAAAACTGAAAGGGCGAAATATTAAATTAAAAGCGGAAAACAGAATGCTACGCGAAAGAATAAGACGGCTTCAAAAGAAAATGGAAAGGATGGAAAATACTTAGAAAAATAAGGAAGATTCTAAGGAGCATGAAACTCTTCGTCAACTAGGTTGTAAGTTACTGCTCACAAAAGTAGCACAATTATTATCTGCGCAAATTGATGCCCAAATCAAAAGCAAACATGGAAGAAGATACACATCTGATTTCAAACAATTTGCATTACGATTATTTTTTTTAAGCCCGCGAAATTATCGAGAGCTAAAGAAAAACTTTGCGTTACCTTGCATTCGTACTCTTCAATTATTTACACAAACATGGAAAATTAAACCTGGCATAAATAATAATATTTTTGATGTTTTATCCGTAAAATTAAATTCGTTGCCACCTTTAGAACGCCATTGTATATTGTGCGTAGACGAAATGAGTTTAAAAGCTCATTTATTTTATAACATTTCACAAGATGAAATAATCGGATTTGAAGATATGGGTAACGAGAAATCAGCAAAACCTGCAAAAAATGCTTTAGTTATTATGGCACGCAGCATTGCAGGGGAT